TTGGTGAGAGAAGAGCCCACCGCCAGCCAGAGGATAGAGAGAAGCTGCCTAGGCTCTGCAGTTTTGGGTTGGCACCAAAGTGAACACAACGGATGATTGATCCTTTCCTAGGCTGGAAGATGGAGAGGATGATTTGTAGAAGGTTGGCTGCAGCAGTGGAGCCACAGTTCAGTGTTAATGGAGAAGAGCAAAATGCAAGTGGGAAGTTTGAACTCCCAGTTCTGCAGAGCTCTGCTGAAGACCTCCCTAGAAATGGATGGACGCTAGGCAGCAGTCATGGTTAATCTTGGAGATGCAAACAAGGAAGATGAAAAACTATCTCTTGCAATGCTCTGCATAAGTCTCCCTCTGCCTGCACCTGCATCTTTCCTCTTTGTCCCATCTCCATGAGTACTGTAAACTCCGAGTCTAATTCCACCTTCCTTAACACTCGTACCCTTCCACAAGTCTTCTCCATATTATTTCACCCAGTAAAGATGACCTCTGCTTGGAGACAGCCTCTTCCCCATCACACTACTCCATGTGAAGAGCCTGCCCACGTTCCCAGAAGTTGCTCTCAGCACAGGGGGTGAGGAGCATGAGGGCTCCCTCAGTGACAGAGCCCTTGTCACCAGTCCTTGGGGGTAGACAGTGACACCACTGCATTGGGCAGCATCTCATCCTGCTGGGTCCCCTTCGGTGGAGCCGAGTCCCTTATTTGCTGCTGGCAAGTGGTAACCTCCAGCATTGCAGAAACTCCTGGAAAAGGGCAGAACCTCCTCAAAGGGAGGAGGATAACACTGCTCGACACACCGATGGGCTGGTCCTTCTGGGTTCACTGCACTTCTAAACACTGGAGCAATAACATGTCCTTAGCAGGTCCTACCCCACTGGGTGGGAAGACAAGACAGTGAATCATTCTGGCCAGTGAACAGGAAAGGGTAATGCTGTAGCTCCTAGAGACATGCAACACCATGTGATTCCTCTTTAATTACACAGGGACTTAATAGAGTTTGCTGGTAAACACCTTGTAACCACATGTGCCTAGAGATTACTGGGTAATTATACTTAGTGGATCACCATGCAACAGGGACTATGGTTTAGCAGACAAAAATAACCGAGCAAACATGCTGCATTCATCAGGCGCTGTCATGAAGCCTTCCTGGCCAAATGCTAAACCAGCCAGCCTTTCCTCGCAGCTCTTCTCCCAGTTTTCTGAGAAGAGTGGAACAGGATGATCTGGGGGGAAAGCTTTCTGCCTCATATAACAACCCCTCTGCAAGGCTCTCCCCTGGTCACACTTGTTCTTTTCTTCTGAATTAACTTGGCACACGGTCAGATTCTGGTTTTCCTCTTCAGGGCACTTGCTGGAGACAACAGAAAGGCTGGAAGATCTTTAACTATTGAGATAGAAATGCTGGAGACAACAGAAAGGCTGGAAGAAACTATTGAGATAGTTTCTATCTCCCATTGCAGCCCTGCTCCAGAGCTTACAAGCTAGATTTGACCCAGGAGCTTGCCAGGGCTTAGTCTCTTTTGGGGGTTTTGCCATGTCTCTGCTTAGACAGGAGTGCCCTGTAATGGCAAGGGGCATCTTGCTCCCAAGCAGCACCAAGACTTCCAGCAGCCTCTGTCCCAGCCTGGCAGGTGGGGTGGGAAGGGCAGCTCCCACAGGTCCCACTGGCTTGGCCCATAATTGCTATTTTTCAGGCTGTGCTCCCTCACTGCATGGACCTGTGGCACCTGGACACAGCTGAGACCTTCAAAGCAGCCCAAGGGGTTATTCAGTCATTGCAGTGAGTCTTAAATCTCTAGGGCTGTTAACAACTTCAGTCCTTTGCTTTCTCATGAACACAAACTTAGGGTCAGCCACATGATGCCCTCTGCACAGGGCCAGTTTCTCAGGGAGATATTGAAACCTAGAAACTTGGATTTTAAAAGGCAATTTTAAGGCACCTTCTCTTTGGCAACTGTTTGTACCACAGGATCCAGCATCAATGGAAGTGCAGCATGGCACGGACAGCCCTATTTATAACCTTGTGAATCTATTTGCAACCAATTAGCAGTGCTAACTAGAGTGGGAGGTATAAATAGCTAATGTAAATATCAACATTGCACCCTCCAAACGCATGCTACACTGGGGAGGAGAGGCCAATACCCTCCTCACCCTCAGGCCTGCTCCGTCTGCTCTGCGGCCTCAGGACACGAGTTTGCACCCGAGATCAAGAGCCTTTTCCACTCCCTTAGGAGCAGCATTTCCATATGGCTTTGCCTTCCCAGCGTTGCAGGGGAGGATGACGCAGGGCATTCTGCCCTGGGGCGCATTTGGAGGTGGAAAGCAGCCCCTCTCCTGCTGCATGCGGGGTGCCCACGTGCCATGCCAGGCTTGGGGACACCTGCACCGCCTGGCCCCAGGATGCCAAATTCCACACAGAGCTTCTATGGGGCTCTGGGGAGGCCTCTATTTTCTGCTTAACATCAGCTTCAGCTGGGATAGAGGCATTATCAGAATTCAGCAGTTAAAATGGAAAGAAAAGGGTGGGAATTCACAGATCTGATACGTAACTGGGGACAAAGAGCCACTGTCATTGCTTTGCCAGACCCAAAGCAGCTGCAGGTGTGCGTGGGGCTGTGAGCTCGAGGCACCCTCCCCATAAAACAGGCTCATCACCCTCACAGAGTCTCAAGCAGCCCAAGCAAGCAGATTTGGGAGACTGGAGCACAGTAAAGCCAACCGGGTATGCGGGCTGGACCCTGTTGCTGCTGAGCTCTCAATCATTAGTGACACAAGTGCTTGGGAATGGGTGCAGAGAGGAGCAGAGACGCATCAGGGCTGGAGGCAATGCTGCAGACACAGGCTCTGCAAGGAGCTTTCCAAGCCACAAGTGGCCACCCTCTACCCCATGCACCAGCTGCTGGCTAAGGGCTGCGATCATGGGTTGCAGCCAGGCAGCACCAGCTGCAGAAAAGGGGTGGCCTTGTTCCCTGAGCCTGGCTTATGGTTCCATTGCTAAGAAAAGACACAAGCCAGTGCTTGGGTGCAGAAAGTCCTGCTCTGAGACCCTCAGCTACCTGGAAGGCTGGGAGAAACGTGGGCATGTCACAAGGTAGGTCCCATTATCCCTCATTATTTGCACAACCCTATAGAAAGGAGGCAGCTTCCTAAAGGTACCCACTGTGAATAGCCAAGCTACAGCACTAGAAACAGCAACAGTTACCAGCTTCCCAAACCTTAACAAAAAAACCACACGGCTACATAGAAAAATGTGCTGATAATACCTATGCAACAACTATAAAACCCCACAGAGTGCTGGGCAAGAGCCATGGTGCCAGCCTGCTGCAGAGTGATGTGCCCAAGGCCAAAGAGCAAGTCAGGGGCAGGGACAGGAGAGCATCCCAGAAGGTCCTGGCTCTCCGCTTGCACCACTGCCTGGTGGCCTCCCTGTGAGTCACGTCACAGGACCAGGCACGGAGCACACCCGGCTTCCGCTGGCACCTCTGCCCACACTGGGGAGGACCCAGGAAAGAAGTTCTGCAGCACAACTAGGTAGTTACCACGCGCCAGCTCCATCAGCAGTTCTTATCATCAACACCTGAGCCAGCTATTAAGAGCAGGAAAGGAATCTCCAGAAGGAACAATACATTTACCAAAATTTACTTAGAAGAAGTCTTTTCACATCCCTTTGTGTCCTATGCAACCACACTGATTAGTGAAGTCAGTGAGCACTACGTGCCATCCCACCTTGCCACGCCATCTCTACATCAGACCCAGAGTTCACCACCCAGAGAGACAGAGAGGGAGGAACCTTTTGTTATCATGCATCCAGCAGGATCAGGAAGGATTTGGTCCCTATTGTTTCCTCTCCAAGCTCTCCCAGCCTGGAGGCTTCCCCCTACCCCTCCAAAAAAAATAGGGTACAAGCCCATGTCCCAGGTGCAGCTTGTGTGGATGGCACCTGGAAAGTTTTCTCGCCTCTGACACAGCCCAACAGATCTGGAATCACCTGTTCTGTTGCCTGCAGCCTGCCAGGGAATTTTTCATGCTGTGCTGCTTGGGAACCACCCCAAAGCCTCGAGTTGAGAAACCTCAGCATGCAGATGGCATCGAGAAGTTGCTGCTCTGCCGCTTTCTGCCTGGGGGAGTTCTCCTTGCTTTGTGTAGCCTGTAGGACCCAGAGGAGCACGGGCACCTACCCCAGGAGGGGAACACTCAGGTGGTAACTAGCACTGGCTACACTCACCAGGGGCTTGTTTGGGGTGTGTTTTTTAGGGACCAAAGTTCTGCTAACAAGGTGGATACAGCTGTCCTAGATAATAACAGGGAGGAAAAAAATTGATTGCGACTGGATCAAGCCTGATCAATCTCTCCACACTTTTCAGCAAGGACACACAAAAAAAGAATAACTAGACTGTTAATAGGTGCCAATGATGCTCTTATGCAGTATATTTCTAAGCTCTGCTTCTTCAGCAATTCATATGCAGTGCATGAGAGCCTCTGTCCCTGCCTCTCGCATAGGCACAATAGGAATATCCACACCCCCAGCTGCAGGAGAAGGTAGATGTGCTTCTCTCTGACACCTGTGCTTTACTCACACCCATGGTTTCTGGTTCTCTCCTTGCCCTAATCCTGCTCCTCCTCCCCAGTGACTGGTCCCCCAATATCTGTTTATACATAGGCGGTGGCACCAGCAAGGGAGCCTAGTGCCTGTCAGAGCACTCCTGGCTCCCCCTAGTCATGTTGCATATCGACATTTTAGTCCATAAGCTGCCCTCCACATCTCAGAAACGCAACCTGAAAAGTAGTAAGGGGAGACAAGCACCGTGGCTCTGTCCCCAAGGGGCCAGCAAAGCCACACACTGTCAGAAAGCAAAAAGCAGGGAACAAGTATACATATCTCCATCCATCCATCCCATTAGGCTTGTCAAGCCTGGTGTGACATTTTCTTTCCAATTCCTCCCAGCCACATCCGTGCAAAGTCAGCCCTGTTCCCATAGCAAATGCAGGGGAAAGCTGTACTTACTGCTAGTGCTCATCTTGCTGCTCCTCCTCTGTCCTTCTCATTCAACAAAAGGGGCAAAGATGCTTCTTAAATCCTCTTTTTTCCTTCAGCTTTCTGCCCCCGGCTGCAGGTGGGAGGAGGCTTCCTCTCCCCTTCCTAGGAGAAATATTTCTCCGCAATTCCCTAGCTAATTCATCCCAAGGCAGCTCCCCGATCCGGCGCTGCTCCCTCCCCGGGCTGCCTTCGCTCTCACTCCGGAGCTGCCGGCAAGGTCACGGGCGGGGCTGGGGGGATGAAGGTGAGGATGAAGAGCCCGGGGAGGGGTGTCCCAGGCCGGGCAGGGCTGCGCGCCCGCACCAGGCGCTCTCATGCAAT